CCGAAGGTGTCTCCCCGCGCCGCCTCCTCCCTCTCCAACTCCCCTCTGCTCACCGCTGCTCATGTAAGCACCATCTTAGTTAGTTAGGTTCCTACTTCATCTACCATTCACTCACAGCAATCTACATTTGATCACACATATATGTTCCTGTTGGAAAGAGTAGACAACCTTGTTCCAACTAAATCACATTTTATTCTAGTAATCATCAAGAGAAAGGGCCTTTGGGGTGAGAAGTGTTCTAAACAAAGTCACATTTTACCATATAAAATATTGCCATCAGTTTACATTGTCACACATTTTCTCCTGTTCTTCCTCCATGATCCAGAACTATCTAAATACCAAAGACATTTTCCACCATTTTAGGTTTTCTTGAGAAGATCTTTTAATTTTGTTTTATATTGTATCCTTTTATATAGAGTAAAGGTACTTTTGCAAATGCCCGTTTAAAACCTGGCTTCAACAAACGTCTTTTGGATCATTGTGATTAAATACAATGTTTGTTTGATTCTAGAAGCTGCAGGGGTCCGGCCCGTTGATGCTGACGGAGGAGGAGCGCCGTACGCTGGTGGCTGAAGGGTACCCCGTCCCCAACAAGCTGCCCCTCACCAAGGCTGAGGAGAAGGCCCTGAAGAAGATCCGCAGGAAGATCAAAAATAAGGTACAGACTGATTTATCCAGACCGTATATCACCATCCATATGACTTTTTAGAAATCCATTAAGGCTGTTACAACCAAGACGATATGGTGAAAGATTTGTATCAGATGCACAAATATGTTGTTTGATTAAGTTTATTATCTGATAATAATAATAATAATAAGAGACAACAAGAACTGTTGGTTCATGCAACAATATATGTACTTTTTATAGCAAATCCACCAAAAAATGAGGAAAGATATTGCGCTTTCAATATAAAGCATAGATTAAAATATAATTTGATGGCATGAAAAGTATTGTTCACAAACTCTCCTCTTCTGTATGCACCTGTTTACCTGTATGCCTTTAATATTAAACTGAATATTTGTTTCTGTAAAACAACATAAATATGCTTTCTTCCTCTAAGTATATTTATCTTTGTCTTAGATTTCTGCTCAGGAGAGTCGCAGGAAGAAGAAAGAGTACATGGACGCTCTGGAGAAGAAGTAAGTTCTCCTCTTCTTCATTATAGCAGAGGGACGGGGAAATAAAAAGAGATTAAGGTTAAATCTAATATCAACTAAACGAAAATAAATAATGTGCATTGAAGTGCAGTGACTGACCTGCAGTACTGTTTCTGTCCTCAGGGTGGAGACATGCTCCAACGAAAACCACGAGCTGCGCAGAAAAGTGGAAAACCTGGAGTGTACCAACAAGTAAGAGCAACAGCCACTAATTATACACACATACTGTATTAATACACACACTATTGCACGTGGGATTGCCTTTAGATTCAGTGCATGCCAAGAAAGATGTTTTTATAAACGAAACTCAGCCTATTCAATGAAAGGAGCTCGGTTTCAGGTAACACTGCAAAAGTCAGAAACACTGTTTAATAGCTAGAGCATCTTTATTTCCCCACTAATATGTTATAAATCAGTCTCTGAGCAGTTCAGTACATTACTAGTTAAAAATTCAAACATTGTCAATATCACCACAATTCAGTGGTGGAGATAATATTTACTCATTTTGAAAATAGTCTACAGGTAATGTAATAATTGAATTAGAGAGGAATAATGTGTCGGGATACATTTACTGAATTTTATTATTGAATCAAAAGCTCCCTGTTGGCAATTGTTCAGCCATGCATAATCATGAGGCTATTTTAATGTAAAAAGCTCAAGCTGCTTCAATTTAGAGACCGTGTTGGTGCTCTCGTTATGCATGGATGCTGTGTGTGTGTGTGTGTGTGTGTGTGTGTGTGTGTGTGTGTGTGTGTGTGTGTGTGTGTGTGTGTGTGTGTGTGTGTGTGTGTGTGTGTGTGTGTGTGTGTGTGTGTGTGTGTGTGTGTGTGTGTGTGTGTGTGTGTGTGTGTGTGTGTGTGTGTGTGTGTGTGTGTGTAGTGTGTAGTAGTAGTAGTGTAGTACGTAGTACGTTAGTACGT